CATTTATGTTTAAACTCATCGACAAAGTGTGTTGGAAATCATGAGAAAACTGGTATTGTTTCGGTGATATGAACCTGCCTTGCTCAATACCCAATTCAGAGAATTAAACACTAGTTTATTCAGGCCAAGACTGACCCCCGGATAATGCAAACGGGTTAATACCCATGAGTAATCCATGCAAATGTCTAGTCCTTGGCTTTTAGCCTCAATCGAAGTCTCTAAACGAAATTTCATAATGTGGTCACTAAGAGAAGTGGAGTGACACTGAAGTGCCCCATATTTTGAAGTTAGATGGTGAGAGGCGATTCGGGAGAAGCTCTGGATCTGTGTTTTGTGGTTGCTGGCAATCACCAGAGAGGCATATCTGCAATCATTTGCAAACGTTGTTCATTTTTAATGAATGAAGACTAGATAGCCATAGCCATATGAGTTATTCAATATTAATCAACTCATCTAATGAAATAATATATTAACCTGAGAATCGAGTGATATATACAACGAATCAGCGAATAATTACCGAACTAATTGGGGAAATAAGAATTTGGGAAAAAACAGTATCAGTGGAGTGGTTTAATTGAGTTGAGTGTTCTAATCGTGAAACCACTGTTATTCCTGACGAAATGACATAAGCACAAACATCACAGCACTTCGAGAAGGAATATTCCATCTCAGAGAAATCTAGCACCATCTAGGAAGTAAACCTTTGGATCTTCTGATTTTGCTAGCCGTGATTCCGATACACTTGATCCTTCGACTGACAACTGACTATAAGAAAAATATTTCAAATTGGAGAAGTTACCTTATGTTCTTCGGTTTATTATAAAGAAGTTGAAAATGAAAGTGTACACTTTAAGATCAGATTTTTAAGCATAATATTTTGAGCAAATTTGCTATCCATGATCACGCCAATAATTGTGTATCAACATTCACTACAAAATTTTGTACAGTAAATTGGTTTATTCCAAAGTGAACAAGCTCATTTGTTTTATTGTGTTATATGCTTATATTCCAAGCAATGGTTTATCACTTCAGTCTCATGTAGCGTAGTTACAGAATCAAATGCAAATAAATGTTTGGGAGTGGATGGCATCAATTCACAAGTTAGTCGAAAACTAGTAAATGAAATAAATCTATGAGGCTGGACGAACTTCTTGTCGATTTCAAATCAGGTAATGACATAAGAAGTAGTACTATTGATCAAACTCTTTGTTAGTATTCACGTCATCATTGTCTTAACGGACAACAGCTGGAAATAAACATCTAAATACCTTTAAATATGAATAAAATATAGTCATTAATAATTGTCTAAAATAATTGCTAATACTAATCAGAATTCTGTGATGCATTTTTGTGATATATTTTAAACTGAGCGGATAGTCTATCTAAGATGTTTTAAGAGGGAAGACTTTATCATATATTTCTTATGTGCACAATTCAGTGCTTATTTCATATCCTCATGCAAAACGTGATTCTGTTAACAAGATACTGAGAGAAAATAATAACATAATGACTCAATACAGTTGTGAATGCGTCAGTATTTCCTAAAACAGATTCACCAGGTACCTGTGAAGATGACTAAAATGCATCATATTGCTTATGATTAAACGTGATTTACTTATGTAAGTGTATATTCTTGAAGAACATGCTTCCGAATGCCATCCATAGCGGTAGTTTTATTTTGCAATAATCAGATAAGAAGGTCTAATGATTCAAGTTTCCTTTCTAAATTAACTGTATGCAAATGTTCAACTTGCTTCTGCAGTGAACGTCGGTGAAACGTCCAGGAGCAAACATCACAACTGAAAGCATAGCAAACAATGATCATACTGCTCTTAAGCCAGTAATCTTGTCTATCACTTCAAAAGTGCTGTTTCCTTCTCCCTACTCCCCACATATATATATATATATATATCTTGATTATTTCCAGATTCATTTGAAAGGAAATTTGATGCTGATTGCGCTGTAGTAACCAATCTTCTGCATACACCTTTGGGTTATGTGACCGTCCACGAAGATCAGACGTTGATCGATTATGATGGTTGGAAAGTATTTCAGACTTCTTCTGAGGATACGGATAAGACCATTACACAGCATAGCACATTACAAGCATCTATCCCAGAAATAATTTTCTACTCAATATTTCCTACTCTTGAAAAAAATCATTCTAGGCGAGTTATTTGCTTTAGATCGCCAGTTCTGCACTATGTAGTAAACATTTTAAGGCATTATTTAGATTACTTCCTCAAGCTTGTTTTTATTGCTCATGTCTGTTTAGTCACAGATATGATGATTGCTCGAAAAATGAGTATTGCTAATCAACATGAATTCCGATAATTCATTTGTAGCATTCAGGTATTTGTAAGTAATGATTCTGATAGTGTTTGATGATCGTGCTTCTGAAAAGAATTTACTCTGAGGTTTTGCATTTTGACAACTCTAGAAATCCTCCAACTGAACTAATAATCCAACTTGCCGCAGTCCTCTATGATATATATTTCAGTTTTTTAGTCAGTGTGTGCAACTGTTTTACTTTCATTTCATACGTCCTCAGTCTATAGATCTACTGACTGTGGTTTACTTGTTTTTTTGATGACTGCTTTTTGATTGAGGGAGCTGGGTACTCGAGAAACTGAAATAAATCTTTTACTTCCGTTTTACTGAAGTGTATCTGACTGAGTTCATTATCATATACGCATTAAAACTTACACATGTAAATAATACGCAGAAGTACATTTTTGCAGTGAACTGTTACGATCAACTGATGCACAATTTATTGCAAATAATTTTTTTCAACATTTTAGGATAGAAATGTTCTCTTTTTTCAGTATTATATCCACAGTAAGTGTAATATAACTGTTGCATGCTGTATAGAAAAGGCAGAACAAGACGTAAAGAGCACAAACTTTCAGGTCTGGCTGTTTTTTAAAGCATCTCTAAAGTACAGCTATAGAATATGAGGACAGTTGTTTGTATCCAGAGTGGAAACTCTCAGAACTCACGAACGCTGAGTAATTTAATATATATATGATATACTGCTGTGTATCAAATTATTCATTAAAATTGACTTACCATCTAATAAAAAGAAACGGAAAACATAACTGTTAATTTCTTTAAATGTTCATCTTTCCAAAAAAATTGGTGAAAATGAAGAGTGTTAATACTTCCAAAATATTTTAGGTTAAAAGTGTTAGATTTAATCTCTTCTAGTTTGTATTAGCAAATAAAAATAGAGGACTGAAAAATATCTCGGTAACAATTATGTTTTATGCTTCAGTTAGTAGGTTAGGTTAAACTTACCTCTGTAAATTAAGGGTTAACCTTTATAATTATCTGTAAAAGCTTGGCATTTATTTTGAATTCGTTTTACCTATCTAGAGTCTTAAGTATTTCACCCAAATAGCCAGCATGTTTTCATCACAACGTTAATCAACTGATTGGTAGTCAACTTTAGACTGTCAGGATGGATGGAGGATTTTACTGCAGAAATTAACTTCACAAAAATGACCTTAAACTTTGTTTTTTTACGTAGCTATACTTGGCTCAGTGGTTCAATAAAGACTCAGTCGACAGTATATTTGATGTCGAAGAGGGTGATTATTCATGTGCTGATATGGAGTTAGTACATTTTAGTTTTTAGAAAAACAAATTTTTGTGTATCTTAGATAACTTTTGTCCAGAAAATTTATTTCTGCTGCAAACCTCATTTTACTATCTTCAAAAGTAGTCAATAGCAACATGTGCAAGTAGAATGAGCAGCGCGTATATCAGTTACATTTTAAACTTATCACTACTTGAATAAGAGTTCGAATCCTTATAGCTAAGAATAAAGAAGTCAAGTTTTTTGCTCCTTATGGTGGAAAATTTATAGTGAAATGATTTAGTTAAATAAAGCTTGTACAAGGACTTTAACTTTTTGGTCATACAAAATCAAGTTTTTCACGTCACCTGGTTGAGCACTTCTGATGGATTCGAATAACTCATACACTATACCAATGATTTCCGATAAAAGTTTATTCTTTGGGCTAATCAAGAATCAATTAAATAAACGTTTGTGTTGATATCCAGCATGAGGCAATTTATTTTTATTCTCATATCTACTGGAAATCTGCTTGCAGTTAAGAGTAAATTGAATGAAACAATAAACTTTCGATTAGCTTTTAATAAATATATAAAAAACCAGAAAAAACTAATAAAATTTTAGTGATTGAAAAAATGTAATCAAGGGAAATATGTATTTTCAATTATTATTATTTCATACCATTATTGTTTTCAATCCATTGAATAGACTAAGTGGAATAGGTACATTTAGTCAATAAAATGAATGAAATAAACAAGTAAACAAATGCATTTATGCCATATTCATTAACACTGTACCACAAATCACAAAATTGTTCGTTTGACACATATATAAATTGTTTCAAGAGAAAAAGTCAAGTAAGATTATGGTAACACTGTAACATAGGTTTTCATAGAGCTTAAATTACGGATAGAAAAAATGACTGTCTATTTGTATGCTTTAACTTGTTCACTGGTATGTGTAACTGTAAAAAATTGGAAGTGTATAAGTTACAGTATAATTTCTGTATAAGTTCTTTTGTTTTTGCTGTATTGTGAATGTTAACGGCTGTTGTACAGATGACTGGCACCTAAAGTTAGATGTCCTTTAGTAGGATGTTGTATGAATTCAGCCGGTTCAATTCATATTTCTCTCATTTCTAATCTGTTCAAACTAATTACTATTACTTGGATGAATATTTTTCAACTACAACTGGAAGTACTGCGTGGTCAAACTTTGCATAAATTTATTTATTACCTTTCTTAGTAAGATTTGTCTTGAAATAGGATCACTACAGTGTATTTTTTGTAATACAGTGAACAAAAAATATGGAAGGATATAGCAGGTTTGTTTACAACAATACTAACAAAAACAACAACACTTCAAAGCACCAAAATATTCTTTGCAACTGGAATACTGAAAACAGTTGGACAGTAAAAATCAGTTAGCGTCGATTATTCTGAGGTGCTGTAAATTTCAGTTGTCCTTTAGGTCGAATATCACTTAGATCGCATGTTTGTCTTCTGCAAAGTAAAAAAAAATTCACGAAAGAATGCTTAAGTATCCTTATTTATACATGTATTATAAAAAGAAAACAGGTTTGATTCATAGACAGATGAGAACAGGTCTCTCTAACAGCTTGAAGTTGACTGGTTCATATCTAGTTTACTGTCAGCTAAAATAACGCACCTTCGGAATGCTTCACTGATCAACTACTCGATAAATGTAAACATATATAATGCAGTCAAAACCCATATCATTCAGAATTTATCGAATATCGTAGCTAGAGAATAACCTTTTCATCGGCAAAGTGCAGTACATATATATATATATATATATATATATATATATATATATATATAAGCATTTTAATATAATGCCAAGATTTCCAGCCGTTCAGTTTGTCTGCTGAGATTATCATTTTAAGAAAGCATCTATATGAAAGTTACATATTTCAGACAATCCAAAGAGATAAAGACGACATCAAAGTATCTTTTGAATCTAGTAGTAATAATTAAAAATGTTTTATTTAAGTTAGGACAAGATTAATTTATTGTTAAAACATTTAATGGGATTGAGTTTACCTCCATAAACCTTAGAGTTCGTCTTAGCAAAACACAAAAGTAATCAGAAATCAGTGTAGTTGCTTGTGCGAAGATTGCTAAAGAGTGGACTTTTGTATTCAAGCAATATTCGATAGTTACTCACGCATGAATCAGCCATTAACCATTCATTTTCTGTGATTTTTAATACGCATTTAATAAACATCAGTTATATAGTGAAGATATTCCCAATGATAGGATTTTTCGCATCTTAACTGAATTACACTTAAATAAACTTGAAGTTGTTAAAAAAGAGTACAAACAACAGTAATTTTACCTTATAAAAAATTAAAGAAAACATTCTAAGTTGCTGAACTGTTAATGGTTTCCTTTAGCTGATTCAGGAAGGTGTGAAGGACAAACTACCGCTTTGGGTTACATCCATGTGTGTCTATCAGCTTACCCGCTGTTGTTGAGCTAATTATGAAGGCCTCACAAAGCATAATCTTCCCAAACGCATGTCGGAGTATTATCTTGCTTGGGTGTTCAGAGGAGAACACAAGTCGAGTAACAATTCCATCTTGGACCATTCAGTCAACTGTGACCACATCACTTCCTCACAGTCTTCTTCCGAAATCCTACAAAAAGTCAGGCCAAATGGATCAGAAGGAGTGCGGTTTCGTCTCTTATGTACAGAAGAGTTGTTAGCGGTCTAACAACTAAAACCAGTGCCCTGAGTACAGAAGAGATACGTCCATTATCTTATTTTTCCATAGTCGTCATCTTTCCTTGGGTTCTTTTTTTGCTTCGGAATTCCTCGTATTGACTGATTATGTTTATTGTTTACACTTTATGGCATACTTTCTTGCGTCTTAACATGTAGGTTCCAGTCCCCCACTACAATTCTCATAATAATGTATTCCGATTGCTGATTGTAACAAGCATTATTATTTTTAACCGACTAGTCATCATCGTAATCGACTGTATATTATCTTTATGCAAACTATGACTAGGCAGTCTTTTTATAACTCTAAAAATGACTCACAGTTCTGCCCTAGAACATTCCCTTTTGATGACCTAATGTTGACCTGTTAGCTTCTAACATCCTCATTTATTTGTTTGTTATCACTGTAAACACGATTGTCAAATGTTGATAAAATGTTTTTTTTAGAAGAAAGAATTATGGAAATACTAAAGCTGTTCGTTAGTTAATTCACTTGTATATTTTTGTAGTATCAAACATTGTCAGACAATTTCAAGAATCAGAGAAATGGGCTAAATTATTGGTCGCTTGTTATCAGATTCAGTATGTATTTAATTGAACTGAAAATGCAACACAGTATGGTGAATTTAAGTGATATCAAAGAATAATGACTCATCATGAAACATACAGACACAAAGCACATCATTGGTTAGCATTACTAAGTGGTCAAACAATAAAATGAAGGTAGGATCTAGCATTTTAGGATGCTGAAGTGTTGTTTAAGTGATATTTTCTGTCTAAAAATTGCTGCTACTTGTTCAAAGTTCAACCTTTAAGAAGTCACTTCATTTTGTTTAATCTCAAATACAACACGTCTAGTTTATTACAGTAAAACAGCCAAAAAGTCTCCGGTTGAAATATGCAGAACCATTGTACTTCTAGGAAATGTCATCGAATATATAATCTCTAGAGTAATTGATACTTTTACAAAGCAAATTGTTTCTAACTGCCTTTAACAGAAAGTTGCAGAAATAGCTTATGAATGTCAAATTCTTACAGGTATTTCAGTAATTATTATCTCATTTGACGGTAATGACACGTTTTCTTGTCTTCAGAACAACGACTTTATTTTATTCTATTCCAACGATTCCTTTTCCTCTGACCAGTGCACAATATCATTGTACACTTTTATACTACTACTGAAGAAATTGGATAGTTAGAAACCACTCAGTCTGATCTGTAGTATTTCACCAGCCACATCAGAGTAATCTAAACACCAGACAGCCGTTTCACTCGTCTGGGGTCGAACTAATCAGCAGTGTCCTGGGATGAGATGGAACAGTTCCAATCATCTGAATCTGGTAAGCTTACATTCATAAACTGGTATGCCTAAAATAGGATGATCAGCTTGCAAATGACTTACCACTTGCACAGTCCACGTTAGCATTTCTCACAGTTGAGTAGTTTTTCAGCTTCCCAACTGTGGTGTCAATAAGATTTCTGTTGGAAGTATCTCAGATAAGCTGATGGTTGCTCATGATACGAATTGAAATAACTTTGACCAAACAGCCATATGTGTGGCGAAAATTAAACGAGTCAATGTCACGATCTCATTAAATCATTCATTTTTACTCCAATAGGTTCTAAAGGCTTAATTCTATGTAAGAACACGAAGAATTCGTATTTGGTTTAAATGATACTTCTTTCTAAGACTTTCCAGATGTACTAACTAGATCACTGAGATCTGTATATAATTAAACTTTACAAATACGAATGCAAAGTGGGTAATATTTACCGCATATAATTCAGGTTATTTCTGCTTAAAACATCATGATGATTTAATCTTTTTCATGGAAGTTAAGTAATAATCAATTATTACCATGAAGTTAGTGCCTCAGGATTAAACTACCCAACTCAGAGAACACAACACAATCAAGAATGTAAGTTCATTCTCAGAAGGATCTTAGGTGAAGAGAATTTTACTTAGAAGTGATCACTTTTGATGAGAAATAGGCAAATTGTTAAATTTGTACACTAATTTGTTGCACCAAATTTTTAGTGTCGAGAAATTCTGGTAGGGAAACACCGGTGGTATGAATCAAACAACAGATTGAGAATTTTAAACTACTGTACATTCAATACTTAATCTGGCTTGAACATTTTTACTCGAGGAAGAAAGACCTTGTCTTTACCATTATCCCTTTATCCTGTGATTTAATATGAGAACTTTCTGTTCTCTTAAAAAAATAGTATTTCTGTCTGTTGAATTTTATGAAATATCCGCATTGAGTTTTAATACCAAAACGAATCAGGGGCGTAGGTAAGATATATTCGGACACCACGGTATATCATTTATCCATCACTTGTATTAGTTACCGTGAAAGTAACAACAACATCATTAAATAGAACGACTATTAGTCTGTTAATAAGAAAGATTTTACCTTCCAAGGGTGTTTGACAAACTGAACTTCACCTGCTAGCTATTATGATAACCTAGTCTAGGTACAAATACCGAAGTACGTTGATATCCAAGTTAGAAAAAACAAGTTAGTCAGAAGCCTAGAGAAATTGCAATGTTAGCTACGGCAACTTCCTATATGGAATTTACTTATGGTCTTGATTAACCATGTTGATTACATGTCAGAGACTTCATGCATTCAATCAAAAGCACGGAGTAATGCTGTGTATCAAGTAAGCAACATGATAATCCATTTTAGAGATTCAGCAATGCCTTGCACTTTCAGGTACTTTTAGGTGTTATATCTCTTGGTAAATGGTTTGGCCGACTGTTCCGATCTTGACCTCGGTTTGAGTTTCCTATGATTAATGGAGTGAGGAAAATACACAACTCTGGTCCTAACTAATACTATAATCTGAGCTACTATTTACAACTTGATCCTACATCTACTAAAGTCACATCAACCGACTAAGAGAGAAGGCGAAGTTGAGCTGTTAACCCACACACTACATACTTGTTTGAACTCAGCAAAATATATGGGAAGTGTACAAGGTCTTAAAGTGTAGATGGCGTAGTCGGAATGTAAATGAAAATCAAGCCAGATACATGAGGGACATTTTTAACTGATTATTTGTTTCTCCCATTCTTTCCGGCTGTGTATATTGAATCAAAACTTTTGTGAGAAGCCTGAGATGTAGGTCTCGTACGTATTGGTATTCATCAACAATATTTGTTTGAAACTCTGCTAAACCTAATGCTCCTCGTAGATTCTAACATACATCACCAAAGAGTGCAGTCACACATACTATCGGCAATTTATTTTAGACTTGAAAAACCACTGTAATGTTAATGTTATTCAGAAAGTTAAATTTACCATCAAGTCAAATGATTTACTGTACTTCGCATCTAAGTTGTTTGCTGACTAGATCGATAGTTTACCTTAACTTCTATGATGTTTTTAGTGTTCACATAGCCTGAATCTAAAGCTTCTTGTCGTCTAACTCTAGCCAATCATTTTATCCATTACTTATCTAAAGTTGCTTTACTCAGTTGCTTTCCACCGAAAATGCGTAAACACATTTACACGGAAGTCATCAACCTCATGTATTCATACATTAGTCTCCTACAAACTACTATCAGAAAGTTCTGTCAACTATCAAAAGAATAAGAGAATATCAACTTCCATCATATACAGGGTCCTAAAGTTTACATAGGAATGAGAACGGCTAGTATTCTCACCTAAGCACTGAAAATAACCTCGACTGGTTAACTAGTTCAATAGTTACTAGCCGGTCCTAAGCCTGCAGAAAGAGAAAAGGT